GATGTGCAGTCCATACCCTGGTTCCCATGACAGGAGCCTGGCAAAGTCTGACTTGCATTGTGGTCATACTTTGTTCCTCTTTTACTTAATGTGTTGACCAATTTCAGAAGATGACAAAGATTAATTCTCCAACAAGTTCTGTAGGAGAAAGTCCCTTTGTCCTGCCCTCGGTAAAAGGTAAGCTCCCATCCATCACCAGCTGGACACAGCCTGCTTCACATTTCAGCCTTTTTTGGCATCTCTTTTTCCACTGAAAAGTGGATCCAGATTTACTGGGGTTTGCCTCCAATTTTTCCTTTTGTGCAGCCCAAGGTTTTCTGATGCTGAAGCGGCACAAGTCCCCTCTGAAGTCGTCCCCCTCTACATACACTGGGGACGAGATCCCACCAGTTGAAGCGCCCACCACACTGAACCACTCAGACTCCAAGTTCACCAGGACTACAAAGGGTGGACTTGGGCAAAATTCAGTCTCAGATGTGTTGGAAAAGTGCTGTTCTCCTTCTTTGCTTTTTGGAAGTGCTCTTGTGACCGATTTACACAGGCATGCAGAGGCAATCAGCCTGCCCTTAGTCTGTGAACATGGACTGCTTGGGGCACTCATCCCAGTGATTGTTAGCAGGAAGATGGAGCAGTGCTGAGAAACCAAGAGTATCCCTCAGCCCTATGGGAGCTGCCCAAGCTGTTGAGCTTGCAAGCTGGCTACCAGGGGGCTGAATTCGCTGAGGAGAGACATTGTGTGGTAGTGTCCTTACCAGCCAAGAGACAACACTGCCCTGGGGACAGGGGTTCTGGCACATTGAGAGGTCTGACCAAGGACCAAGATTTTTTTTCTGCTTTGAAACCACTCCAGAAAGAATTTACGTGCCTTTTTTTTTTTCCCCCTTATTTCCCTCCAAGCATCTTAGTCTGCTGCAATGTCTGAATACGGTCCAATTGGTTCACAAATGTCTTTGTACTGCCTGGCTGCTCATTCCCTGTCATTCCCAGCGGGGAAACTGGCCACTCAGAAGCTATTCAGCACAGAATGGGAAGGAGGAATGAAATCTAGTAGGAAGGCCTGAGGAAGCTGCCACTAATGCCTCAGATGTAGAGAGAGGGTCAACACACCTGGCTCCCAAATGGGTTTGAAATCCAAGGGTGGTTTTCTAGTGGGTTTCTTGCCACCAGAAGGTAAGGGAATCCTTCACCCTTTCTTCTCTGCTCCTTTAAAACTGGATTGCTTGGCAGCTCCTAATCCTGTAGATAGCTATTTGTTCTCTGAGTTTTCTCACACCAGCCAGGAAGCAAAGTCCTTCTGTGAGCTTTAATGTATCTGTGTGTTTTAATAATGTATTATTGTTGATTTTACACAAATATCACTATTTAGGAACTTCAAAGTCTTTGGTTTTCCCCCACCCTCCAGACTTTACTTCTTGCTGCTGCTGTTGTTGACACTTCCATGTGTTTCAGCCTTGGAGAAATAAATATTTGTTTAGCTCTTCTCCTGCTGTGCCAGCTCAGTGCATTTGTTTAATGATGAGTTCAGTTCAGCTTTGCTTTAGGGAAATATATCATCCCAGAAAAGCAAGAGACTCATTTGCAGACAAGCTGACCTGTGTTCTTGCCCCCCTCTTGCCACCCCATCCCTCTTTTCACCAGATTTGAGTTTGATTAAATAAATGTGCATGCAAAACTCCAAGTCAGTTGTGGGGAGGAGTCAAAGTTTTGCCTGTTTATTTCTCCACTCCATTTATCCTGACCTGAAATAGTGAGTAGAAGGTTGGACTCCAGCAAGTAGCTGCTGTCGTTACCTAAATTTTCTTTAATCTGTAATTTTCTTCTTATCATCTAAAATATCAAATCACATTTTGTCTTATAATATTTGCTTTAGAGCCAAGCCCAAACCTCTGTTTCAAAACACGTATGTGTTATGTTCTCTCTAACCCAACCTTCTTGAGTCAAATGAGAGATTATACTTTTCACTCAAGACATCAAATTGGTCTATGCCATCAGATTTTTTTTTAAAAATGAGGACAATTTTAACCTCCAAAATCTACATTTGTGCACCTAAATGAAGGTTCAGCTTCTTTTTATTCCTGGAAATGCAGCACTACTTGGCAAAGAAATGAACATGGGATTTTATTAATGCCATTGCCATTTCAAGTAATTTTGCACAGCTGAAACTGGAAGTTTTCTATTAAACAAACAAAACACCAACCAAAAGAAAAAAAAAGAGGGAGAGAGAGAAATATCCACAAAACAAAATAAAAACCCCCAAACCTCACAAAATAGCATTATAAAAATACAAACTCTGGAAAGATCCAAATTTTCTTTTTTTTGCCTTTTACAAAACCTTCTTCAAATTATTTAAGCTACTTATGCTTCACTTCTGAAATACGGCAAGTATAATTTTGCCAATAACTACATTCAATTTCTGCCAGAAAGCAAAAATCACTTCAGTGAAGTAACACATCAGACTCTCTCTTCATCTGTTTCCAGCTGATGAGGTTTCAGCCTATAGCAGAGATTGTTTGTTATTATATTTCAGTGCATGACCTGGCACTTGTGTGGCTGAGTTTCATCTGACTACAATCACTCTGGCCCTCAAAGTCATCCCACTGTTTTTTTATTTGTATGATATTCAAGAACCTCCTCCATAATGATGATTCATTCCAAAGTGTGTCATCACCAAATTTTGTTGGCATGGTTGTCCTTAACCATGCCAAGAACTGTGATGAAAATATTATGTAAGATTTATCCCAAGAATCATTTATGAGGAATTCTACTCATAACCTTCTAGCCTGATTAAAATTATAGAAAATAGGAAAAGGACCTTATGTGCAAACTGTACCCCAAAGACATGAACTGTACTCAGCAAATACTTGTACAATTTTTTTTTAAACATAGTTGATGAGATTCCATAATCTTCATAGATACTCTGTATCAGAAAGTCTCCTACTCACTGAAGTACTTCTATCCCTAATGTCTTCACTGAGTCACTTCTCCCACATTTTCTTTGTTTTCCCTGTGCCAAACACAGACAGAGAATTAGCTCGTTCCCTTGTGAGTGATGCTTCTGCACACAAACCCCAATATCGTGTCCTGACACATTAGTTGGCTCCTTACTTTGAGCTGACTCCGTCCAGCTGATGCTGTCATGCATTAAAAGTTCCACCTCAGGCATTTGTTTGAACACAAAGCACTATCCTCTGAAGGCAGTGTTCACTTGACTTAGGAAGCAATCCCCAGAGCATGATCATCTTCCTTTATGTTTCTGAAACTTAACTGAAGACAAAGCTTTCCTCAGTTTCAGGGTCTCAGCAGACTTCTGAAGGCTTCTTTTGCAGGAAGCCAGAGAATATTCCCTCTTGTAGACCTCTTCAAGTATTTTATTGCATGTATCAGATTAACAGTTAAGTTCCCCAACATTCCTTATGAGTGCCTTACCTCCCTGTCCCATAGGTATTCAGAATATCCTGAAGGCTTCTGTCATGTAATTTGGTGGAAATTATATTATATGTACGTAGCAGAATGAATTCTGTGTACCAATTACCACAAAGCTAAATATTATGTTACCACAAAGACAAGTTGCATTTGGAAACAACTATATGTAATGCTAATAAGAAACCCAATTCCATCTTATTCTAATTAACCTGGAAAACCTTCCTTTTTCCAAATGAGAGAGACTTCAAGACATTCAGAATGTTAATAAACCCACAGGTATTTCCACTCTTTATATCTCCTGGCATACACTATTCATCAAGAATTGTTGCTCATTTCAGTCTGAGTCTGATTTTTCTCAGCCTAGAGAAGTTTAACATTTTGAACCACTGCATCTAATTTTTTAAATGAAAAGGAAATCTTCTTTTCCCTGGTTTTGGTAAGAGGTGAAATTCCTAAATATTGACAATGTGTTAGCAAGAAAAGATACCAGCCTTAATGCTCCTTAGGAGGACACAGCATAGCTCAGAGAATTCATCATGGGCACAATGACTGAACAGTAAGCTATGTTAAGGGTCCTTTGTGTTCACTGGCAACATAAAATTCTTACAGCAGGAGATATTATGACCTTTTATACAACAGATCCAAGTTGGATCTTTTTTTTTGTGTGGTTGTCACTAGTTTGTGCTGAGCCCAGATTGGCTCAGTCTAATGGTTATAAGGTTTGTGAATAGAGTCTGAAAATCAAAATGAAATCAGAATCCATTTTTCTGTCTAGCTGGTAGGAACAAGCTCTGAGACTTCAAACAACCTGAAGATGAGCTGCCCTTTAGTGTCCAGATGTCATGCCTTCAAAGGAGAGCTAAAACTCATTTATGGAAATACTTGGAGTCCTCCCCTCCACCCCTCAAATGAATAGTCATAAAGCTGTAGGGTTCTTAAAGCCAGATCTTCAGTAATAGCACAAAATACTGCCTTTTATAGTGTGCTGATAATGCTGTAGAATAGTGCAGTATATTTTTCCACCCAGAGAGCAACACCCAGTTAACATTTAAGTTAGTGAAGTGGAAATTTCGGTGACCTAATTTAAGAAGCAGTCAAATGTCTTAGGTGAGAAAGTTTCACCAAAACGTAAATGCCACTGTATTTCTGCTTTGATTAAGAGAGTCCAGGTTAAGGGGTGGGGGAAAATGGTTATGATACAGGGGAATGCAGTAGAGAAGAAGGAATCCAATATCCCAGTAAGAGTACAGCTTAACTTCTGACCATGGGGCATCTGGAAGGCTCGCTTTCAATTCAGGCATATGACAGACTTGCTTTGTGTTATCCAAAAAGGGGAGGAGAAAACCTGATATAACTAGGGAACTGAGATCAATTTTGTGAAAGTCTGTGAGGCATTATTTACAGTCTGTGTGCCAGAACCGTGCTTCCTCTCCAGGCCATAATCAGAAAACAGTTCAGTCTCCTGTAGCGTAAATGAGATTGGGCAACGTGAATGAAGCTGCTTTCTCTTTTAACAGACTCCTTCCGTTGTTCCACTGCTGAACTCTCTTCATGTCCCTGTGTTTTTCCTCCTGCAGTCCAGTACATCGTTCAACAGAGATGCTGTGAAAGCAGGGACAGGCCGGCGTTTCCTTGGCGGGCTGTTAAACGATACATCCTACTGCTACACTCTGGAGGTCTCGTTCTACAGCTACATATTGGGTGGACCTGCTTCTGCTGTCCCCTACACAGAAGAAGCCTGTATCCTTTTGAAATCCATCCTCCCCTTGCAGCACATACGAACTGGGCACTTAAGGTAAATACTTCTATCTCACTAAAGAGTTTGCTGAGATGGGAACACACAAGTGGAAATGTGAGTCTGCTCCTGATGCTTTAATTTCCCTCATATTGATTCCCCATACTGTGGAAATTCAAGAAGAGAAAGACATTAGATCAAATAAGCCATTTCCCTCTTGTAGGAGATTGTCTCACGCACTTATTATAGAAACTAGTCCTGGAGAGCCTGTGATCCATTCCCTTCCACAGTCTTCCATTTCTTTCTTCATTTCTCTCCTTATTCTCTCATTATCCCTGTGTTTGTATTATTGTTTTAATAGCAAGTTGAAAGTGCATCCTTGGTACTGAGTTAAAGCATCTTCTCTGCCTTTGAACTGCAGCCAAAAGGCTCTAAAGGATCCATTAGGTTCTGCAGCTGCCTCGGGGACAGATCTTTAATGCCAGTTGACAAAGAAATGGAAAGCGAATTCCGAAAACAAAACCGACAAAGTTGTTGGCATTTTTGAGTGCTCAAATAGAAGCAATGTTTCATTTCTCAAAAAACACATATCCATCTGGCTATCTTAATGTATCAGCCATTTGTAGAATTGTTCTGACTGGTCTCATGATCTGCTTTTATGTGTTTCTTTTTCTTTTTGTCACCATGCTCAATCAAATAGCCAGTGACCATACTTCAAGCTTGGGTGTTTTATTTCATTTTGTCATTCTATCTTGGCAGCTTTTGAAATTTCCACAGGTTTAGAAACACTGCAGAGGGAGAAAGATTAGTTGTGATTGCCTATTTACCTCTCCACTGCATTTTGGAAGCCGGGGAAGCTTTAGTGTAGCAAGGGGGAAATTTTCATACGAGGCATAATTCTTCACCATCCATGTATATGTGGACACTGTGAGGCAATCAGATTGAGAAACAGGGAGCAGGGAAAGTAATTGTTATTTATTTGGGGTTTCTGGTTTGACTTCTCCACTGAAAGAGAAATTTGGGGGCAGGAGGAGGATAAATATATTGAAGTGAATTATCAGGCTTGAGCATTTGGAATACAAGCTCTTTTTTGCCCTGTAAGGTTAACTGTTTCCAAGGAACAGCTTTGTGCCATAAACGCCTATGTAGTATATCTTGCCACTGAGGAAAAAACTTTCATTGCTGTAAGGTTTAGCTATTTATTTTCTTGAGTTGGTATTTTGGTGTTTCAAGAACCCATGCCTTGGTTTCACCTTTAATTTTTTTCCTCACTTAGTGCTCACTGTACTGACAGCTGCTTATTTATCTTCCTTATTTATCAAGAACAATTTTTACAGTGAGGAAAGAGCCCCTATACAAATGAGATTACGATTCCCTTGTATATGTTTTTCTTCATGATTTGTAGTTTGTGCTGGCTTAGTTTCCTTTTCCATAAAGATTCTTGGTTTGTGCTCCACAAGACAGAATTTTCACGTGTGGGATCTAACATCTCTATTTGCTTGGCTTGCCTTCTTGCTTGCTTGCCTTCTTCAGGCAGAGCTGCTCCATTCTCAGCTCAGTCATTGTGCCCATCAGCAGCTGGAGCACAGAAAACAGGCCCCAAATCAGAGATCCTTCTTGGAGGTGATGTATGGAAAGCTCAAGCAGCAGCTTGATTTCTACAGTTATAGTTTCACCTGGCTGGCTGGAACAGGAGAAGTTGGTTTTGACTGGCCTGGAAGACAGCAGGCAGAGGAAGCTCTTTGCCCATGGATTATGCTCCACTGGCATTCTGCCCTGGTAGGTTTTATTATTTCCTTTTCAATGGAGGAATTCTATCAGAGAGCTGCCTATGACAGCTCTTCCTCACATGTGAGATTTCCTAGTTAGAGAAAGAAATGGAGCTGCTTGAAATAGTCTCTAGACTGCTCTGATCCAACACAGGAGTAGTCACTGCATTTGTGTACATCCTATCCTAGCAGGGGAAGAAGTTTCACATCACTGAAGTGCCTATGATCAAAAGTAAAACAACTGCAGAGCATTCCAGTTTAGTCTGAACAGCCCTTCCAAGCTATTTGCAAGTCAGGGATTAATTAATGCTCAAATTTTTTAATGGACCTGAACCAAAGACACAGGCAGTCAGTGCCTATTGGCCTCCAAGGACAGGGCTGCTTCTATTAACTATTCAGCTACATGCAGGCAGCAAGCAAATAAATGAAGAAAATACAATGAGCCCAAGAATGGTGAACTGATAGGGAAAATATTATGGAAATCTACCTTCAAAGATATATTTCTTAGGACTTTTTTCATCCCACTGTGATGCTATTGGGTTCTGTGTGTTTGTTTGTTTGTTTTCTTTTCTACAGAAACAGAATCAGGGAGGCTAGGATTGTTCAAAGCTTCTGATGTTGGATTAAGAAGTGGAGACTGAGATTCAGCCTCAAATTCAGGGGACCCTTGGCCTTAAAAAGAGACTGCAAAGCAGATCACACTCTTCATTCAGAACTAGCCATACTGGCTCCTTTTAGAGAACAAAGCAAATTAGGATCTCCAGGTCCTATAGAAATATTAATTTAGCCTAATGTTGTTCCTGTTGATGGGTGAGAAAACTGAAAAAACCCTGAATAGTCTTGTATTTGCACTGATGGCATGTAATTATACCTGTCAGCTTCTTTTCTTTACAGCATTTGTGGCAAATAAGATCACTACTCCCTTTCATGCCATCATACAAATGGATTAGGTTTGTTGGTGGGTTTTATACATCTCTTCATGTTTTCCAGGTTTTACATGCTTTCTCTATGATCCATAAAAACCTCTGTATGAGAATGCAATAGATATATTTCTGCATTTGGTATGATTATGAATTTTGTTCAGACTTGGGGTGACTGAAACGTACTTTGCAATTTTTGAGAGAAGTGGATACCTTACATGCATGAAAATGGGACACAGACTTTAAGTTTGATAACTGTTTGAATTCTAACATTGTTAGTGTGGACAGTAGCCTTTTTTTAATAAGAAAAGTAGGAAAATTTTAAAAAAGGATGGGATGGTATCATTAGAAGTGGAAATCAGTTTTAAATTACTCCAGTTAGTATGACTGAATGTATTGTAAATGAAGTGGTTCAGAATTTAGAGGATGACACCTGGCATGTTCTATAAAAACGAATTTGCCACTGAATCTGCACTATTTGAATGAAATCCAGGAGGGAAGGATCTTCCTTCAGTCTGTGTAGGGGGTGTACGTTTGGGGCATATATGGTGGGATAAAAGTGCTGAATTTCTGGCCTCTTTCAACACAGAGAATTAACATGATTGCATGGATGTCTCAGGCCTCGATTAGCATGATCACTAATGGTTACTGCTGGAGTGTCTCTTGTATTTTCATCCGGCAAGCAAAGCACTGCATCAGGTGTAGCTTCCTAAATGCCCTGTTATACATTCCTTAAGAGGTATGTGTGTGCCTGGTGGGTCTGTGTCTAACTGATATGTACCTGGTGTATGAGAAACATTAGGGATGTGTTCTGTAAGCCTGGCTCTGCAGAATACCCTACGATAACATGTGCTGCAGATAACAGTGAACGGACTCTGTTTCAAAGGCATAATAAGAGGATTGTAGTCTTGTCGGTTACTTGCCTGGAAGTGGACACAGAAGTGTTTAAAACCCTTCTCACACATGCACACATTTGGTGGTAACTGATTAAAAAGGCAGCACAGCAACAGTTAGCTGAGCACCAGGTGAAGAAGCTTTAAAATGAGCTGATATGCTTCCATTAAATTCCATGTTTTACTAGGCATTTACAGGGCTTATGACACAAGGCTTGTAAACTGCTCTGTAATGCTCACCACCAGCAGCTCAGCTGCTGAGCTGTCTCGGTGCACACCAGCCTCATAGCTGGGCAAGGAACAAAGGATAAAAGTGGGAGATGAAGGATGAATCCCCAGCTGTAGGACTGAGCACTGCCCTGACAGTGCACCCGGAATTGCTTCCCACTACAGCTGTGAGCAGCAGCCGTCACAGCCTGACCCGAGAGCAGCCAGTAAAGGACTCTCACATCGACAGCTTTAAAATCTTCTATTGGATTCCTTTATTAGAGTGTTTGAACTGGATCCTCGCTGTAAAGCAGGCAGCCCATAACAGATAATAAAAGGTTTTACTCTCGCAAAGTCTAGCCACGAGATAGGAACGTGGAAACGATGGAGACCTGGCAAGAACTGGTATGCTTGTAGCCTGATAGTTACAGGGGAGAAAAATCATCAAGGTGGGTGAGTGCCAGTGTTGTCAGCATGTCCATGGCATTTAGTGTATTTTAATCTTAATTTCAAGCTTCCTTTGGATGAGGAAGGCCCCCATCCAAAGGTGGGCCTTCAGTCATCTATGTGTAGGGCTTTACTCATTGAAATCACTTCTGAGTGGAATAGCTGGGCAAGGAACCCTGGATCAAGGGTTTAGTGGAACAGGTTTTCTTTGTACATCTTTTCTAAGCACATCACTTCACCTCTTTGATTTAATGGCCTCAATACAGAAAATTAATTTAATGAAACTTCTTTTGTAAAAAAAAAACAAACAAAAAAACCACCCCATTTTTGAAATCATGGGTGAAGAACACAGAAGAGACCTTACTAATATTATCCCAAGGTAGATCTTTTCACATTACAAACAGCTGAGAGATTATGTCAATACTTAAAACAGTATAGAGAATCAACTTGCAAGGAAATCACTTGGCATTTTCCATTTCTCTGAATGTATTGAATTGGAAGCTTGTATCCCTTAAACAGGGCGTAGTTGCACTGCTGAACCCTCTCCCCTATTGTGGTCATAAAGATGTATTTATGTGGCTACAGCCACAGAATGAAAGCTTGGATTGACTGGAGTCTCTTCAGATGCCCAACAGGATCTCTCATCTTGGGACTCTTGACACAGTTGGGATCACTGGGTTCATTCTTATTCTTAACTTCAAGCAGAGTATCTGCCTGCTGCTTGACTGGGGACTTGGGTAGTTAAATCCCCTAGAGGAAACAGTCATTT